TGAGTGATAAATCTCATCAGGAAGAGACATAACTATTATAGATCGAGCACGCGTGTCTGTAGCTATCTTCTTCTTGTCCTCATCACTCCACTGATGTGGGAGCTTTGGAATCTGCCGTTCAGGAATCACGGTAGTCGTAGCTGTTGCTGGAATAGCCGGAGCGATAGCAAATGGAATATATGGTCCATTTTCTATGTAATGTGGAATTTCAGGATCCACACCTTCCAGAAAGAGGGACATCCGGTTCTTCCAAAGACTAAAGTTGTCACGGACAAACCAGGGAGGTTTGGCAAGAGAGCTATTATCTTTTTTGTGTGTGTGTGTTTGCAATTTGTAAAGCCATTTGTAAGCGGTAAAGTTATCTAAGAAAGGAGATAAACTAATACAGAAAATAGCTAAACACAAGGAAAGAAAGAAAACACTGCTCTGATACCACTTGTTGGTCTCGTGAGGGTCTACAAGAAGAGAAACAGTTTGTAGAAGGGGGGATGAATACAAACACAATATTTTGAAATTTAAAATATATATTGATAGAGAAGATCAATACAGATTTTACAAGATTGTTTGCGGAAAAATAAGATAATAAAAACCTATCTAAACAATCTTTGGTTACACACTAAGTCTTAGCAAATACAAGAAAAGAAATTGATGTAAAGAAGATCATTTATTTAAGCTAGAAAATGCTTAAAGTAAGAATTAGGGTTAGAGAGTGAGTTGTGCGCACTCTGCATGGAGAAGAAACACTTCTATTTATACCCAGTGCATTAAATGAACATTTAATGCAATATGGTAGGGTTAGAGTGCGTGTCAAGCCTTAAGAGGAAGGCTTGTCCTTTGCTACAGTGAATAGTACAAAAGCACTATTCATAAGCAGACATTCTTACTTAAAGTTGGTGGACAAAGAGTCGACTAGTCGGCTCCGTACCGTACTAACTTTCATAAGGGTATGGGTTTTGTCCTTTGCGTGCATAAGGACAAGAAAACAACAATCGTGCTAAGCAAGCTCCCTTTGATCGCTGAATGTTGGAATGACCTGAAGGTCTCATCATCATTCGCTGAAGCTTGAGCAGTCTTCACACATATGTAGACAAGCTTGTAATCACTGAGTACCGCTTCAGATCACGTACTCGCCGGTCTCTAATCTTCAGTTTCAGTCTTCGACGTTTGCTGAACGTTCTTTGGTGTGAGTGTTGTATTCTTGAAGTATTGTTGTCTCTAATAGATTTACAGTGCAAGTTTTTCAGCGATCACTGAACATACTCAGTGAAGATCGCTAGAACTGAAAATACAGAAACACAAATACAACGTATAAGTAAAAGGGATTATCATCAAATCACTTGAGAGAGAGGATCAACAAGGGCCCATAGCGGGGTTCTAATGGGCAGAGCCCCTTGGCGGTGGTCTTGCCGACCGGTTAGTGGTCGGGGTCTAGAATTTATGAAAAGTCGAACATAGTAAAATTTTCACCAAGTATAAAATCTGATAATGAACTTAGACATCTGATCCTTCTATATCAGACATCTAAAATGTGGTTTCAGACTTGAAGAAATTAGCTAAGTCCTAAGTCTAGACTAATAAAGTCAGAGATCTGAACCTTGTGTTCAGACTTGTGTTTGGTATCAGACTTAGTCCCAAATGGCGCGAGACTTCGATTTTGCACTCTGATTCGGTTGTAACTGCTTTTCGATCTTATTCATTAACGGTTATTACTATTTAACTACTCGTAACCGTCGATCTCTCTTATATATACATAAATTCATGATCTGATGAATATATATATAAGCAAAACTCAATGCCTTATTTCGCGTACGAAATTTCTAGATTATCCAGGTACCGATTTGTGTGAATCTAAGGCATTAGAGGGGTGAAATACTGTAATTGGAAAGTGATTTCCAATTCACGATCTAGAAATTTATCCAAGTTCTATATCCACAAGTGTATATATATATATATATATATATATATATATATATATATATNTGAAGTTACCTTCACAATGTTTTGTTGTGAAGTTCAAGTGTAAAAATCGTGTCTCCCGAAAACAGTCTTGTCTCAGATATCCACAAGTGTATATATATATATATATATATATATATATATATATATATAAGGGTCCATTCAAGGGAGAATTAATTAGTTTGTGATAACTGTGAGATCCAATTTTAACTACAAATCAATAGATAAATTAAGAAACTAATATTTTTTGTAATTTAGCTTAAAAATATAATTAAAGGGTATTTTAGGTATTCTAAAATTTTCATCTCTCTTCTCTCTCTCTCTGCTACCTCCGGCCTCCGAGGAACATCGTGTAATACCCAAAATACACCAAGATATACAATGTGTTACCCAAAATATATATAATGTGATACTCAAAACACACAAATAAACTTTGAGATCACTCTAATACCAATTCTAGTTCTATCGTGATACCAACTGTGGTACCAGTGTCACAGGTTGGTGTTTAGTGGTCGTTCATCGCCGCTGACAAATTTAAATTGTATTTTGAGTGATCCATACGACAAATTTAATAATGTATTAAAAACATATATCATTAAAAAAATTAAAAAATATATTTTTTAAGGATGGGACTGGGACTAGCGACCCATAACCGGTTATAAACTAGCCTGACCGGTCTTCATCTATTCGACTGGGACCGGTTACACCGGGACCGGTTATAGCCTGCTATAAGAAATCTTAGGACTGGTTGGGATCGGCCCGGCCCGGGACCGATTTTTGGCCATCAGTTCATGGGAGACGGTGTCTTGGTCAGACAAGATAACTAGAGGAGGTCACTAGAGTGGTGATGGATGCCGGAGAAGGCACCAGATTTGGTCCCTTTGTGTTCGTGTGTGTGTGTATATATATATATATATATTAAAATAATTAAATTAATTAAAGGAAATTGAAATATTAAACTAATTTAATTAAATTGAATAATCAACTCAATTTACTAATTTAACCTTTGTTTTATTTTAGTAAATAATATTAATTATTTAAAATGATTGTCTCATATTAGACCTCACAGTTACCGCAAACTATTTAGTTATCATTTAATTAGACTCATATATATATAGAGGTTGGTTATTATACAACCCTTGATATTGTGCAACCAATACAACCCAATCCAACCATCCATTTCATTTGATTAATATGTGATTTCATAGAAGTTTTTATTGTTTCTTAATATAAAGTATCGATCATAATTAATGAACTATATTCATCTTCCAAAAATATTCAAATCATAATAAATGAACTCTCATCATTTCCATAAATATCTCAATATATTGGGTTGCATTGGTTGTACAAATRCGATGAGTTGTATTTGAAACAAACTCTCTCTCTCTCTCTCTCTCTCTCTCTCTATATATATATATATATTAAAATTATTAATCTAGTCAAAGGAAATTAGAATATTAAACTAATTAAAATAAATTGAATGATCAACACAATTTACTAATTTACCCTTTGTTTTATTTTAGTAAATAACTATAATTATGTAAAATGATTGACTCGTATTAGACTTCACAATTAACACAAACTATTTAGTTTTCATTTAATTAGGCCCCTATATATATCAATGTGAAATCAATGCCTTATTTCGCATATGAAATTTATAGATTATCCCGATACTTATCTTGTGTGAATCTTAAGCATCAAATTGGTGAAATACAATATTTTGAAAGTTATTTCCAATTAACCATATAGAAATTTATCCAAGTTATATAACCAAGGCCCAAATTCCAAGCAAAAACTTGTGATGATCCAATCCATAACTTTTTATCTGTCGATCATGGTTAGCTACCTAGCACGTCTTGGTCCACAGAGCCAGCGCAATTATACTGGTAATTCTTTTTCTAAAAGGATGCAATCTCCTTTGTTAGCAATGCCAATTTTTGTAGCTTCTTTCCTAGTAAAGTAAGTAATTTGAGGTAAATCATTTCCCACCGCATGCTGATCTGAACAAGTATAATTAAGATATAGATTTACTACAAATCTTCTGTAACACCCAAGGCTGTTGCTAAATGCGTTCTGTTGCAAATGTGGTTCGCATCGTCATATACAACGGTAGTATAGAACAAATAGGCTGATATCGCAAACAATTTACAACGAACGGAATTCTGGTCTTTAATTTGCTCCCAAGATTCAGAAGTTGAGACCAGGAGGTCCGCGACGTCAAAGGGGTCAAATTAGCAATCATCCTAACTAATTAATGTACAATATTTTGCAATATTTATTGCATTGATGATTCTTCATTGTGAATAGCCTGTTTTTTCTAGGATGGATTATTCATTTTATAAGGTGAGGATCATATTGCCGTACGTACCTATTTGTATTTAGATTCTACTTTAACATTTTTGTTGTCGAACGATTTAATGATGGTTTAAAGTTTCTTGGGAACGACATGACATTAATTACTAGGTTACATGAAAGAGGTGAGACCATGAGAAACCGCATGTTCATGATGTTTGCTACAGTTGGGGATTGCGTCATTAAAGATGCATTGGAGAGTAAACAGAAGGGGAACAACTCTTGGACAGTTTCTGCAACAAACACATGTGGGAGGCCATCTCTTTGCTTCATTCATACCAAATGGCATTAAAGAAATCAGAGTTTTGTATTTCAATTTGGATGCAAGTTCAGCAATTCGAAAAGACTGCACATGGAGTTTCACATGCTACTGTTATTCATAAGATTAATGTATGCCAACTTGCGATTGTATAAATAGAAAAGCAAAGAATATTTTAGTTATCATCAGAAACACTTGCTTGCATGCTTGGCCAAATCCTAACCAAAAGCATGGCATCATTAAGTTCATTTTCTTCTTCTTCATCCAATATTCGCCATACCATTCGGTCCATTAGTTTGCCAACCAGATCACACCACAGCACTCTTCAAGTTGAAGAGGAGGTCACCAATCTTAAAACATGGGAGGCATCTTTGCCATCTTTTCCTGATGCAGAAACATTTTACAATGGTCTAGCTTGCCTGGAAAGATTATACACATGCGTTGACAATCTTTTCAGTTTACCACTGACCCAACAAGCCCTTTCCCTTCATCAACATGAGAAATTGGTAAATGAGTTGCTGGTTCGGTCGATGAGACTTTTGGACATCTGTGGCTCTATTAAAGATTTAGTGTCGCAGGTAAAAGGACATGTACGAGATATTCAATCAGCTCTAAGGAGGAGACGAGAAGATTTAAGCATTGATGTTTCGTTTCTAAAGAAACTGAAGAAAGATGCCAAAAGAGCTGTTGCGGATTTAAAGCAAATCGATCACATTTATGGCTTACAACTGTTGAATCTTGATCACCACCTATCTTCAGTGATCAGAGTACTAAGAGATGTTAGTGAAGTCAGCATTTCTGTGTTTGGATTGCTCTTGTCGTTCTTGTCTGTCTCTATTTCTAAGCTGAAGTCAACAACTAAATGGTCAATAATCTCAAAATTGATTCCGAAAGGAACAGCAGGAAGCAAGTATCAGCCTCAGAATGGTGTTGAGGCTTTAGATTGCCACATTGAAGGCATTGAGAATGGTTTGGCATCCATGTTTAGGAGGTTGATCAGAACCAGGGCTTCCCTCCTAAATATTCAATCTCACTAATGTGAATCTTGCAACACATAGTATATACTTTATTCATCTGAGTTCTATAGCGATGTATATTTGACTTTAAAACTAAAAGATTATACCGTAAAAGACATACACAAAGATATTCTGCTACATTTTTGCTACTTTGTTTCAGTTGGTCATGTGTCCTGAAATACGACCATCATTGAGTGTACTCCGATTATAGTTAACCATAAAAAGAACAAATTCCAAGTAACTACATAGATCATCGGAATGTAGGACACAAGAGTAAACAGAAAAACGCTAAATGAAAAATGACTATCGGACAAGTGTTCTATATAGACCCTAGGAATGTCGAATGACTGAATTCGGTCAGTGATATTTCTAAGGTGTTCTTATGTAGTATACCATGTAAAAGGCTAAAATTAGGTACACATGCGACATGTGAACGAATTAAGTGGGCAAAAAATTATGATATTAATGCAGCTTAAGATACAAACCTGATTTCCATAGTTAAAGGATTTAACATTTTGATGGAAGAAACGGTGTTAACATGCACACCACACGGGTGTTGTGAGAAAGAAATATTATTTCTTTAAACCAAGAGCATGAGAAATCTGTGGCATTAGAGATGAAATGCAGGGTGGCATGGGAACAATTCCTGCAGCAACACATGAGAGGGAGGCATCTCTTTACTTGATCCGTAACCAAAGGCAATGAATAATATCAGAGCTAATTTGTTTCCTAACCAGGAAACAATGCCAGCAAATTCCGGCTAGTGCACATGCTTCTTCATCACTGTGTGGAATCCTTACTGTCCTAAGTTTGCTTGTCTATATATTTGCACAGAGCAAATAGCCTCTTGATATCATCACAAACTTTTGAATTCTTTGCTTTAAAAAAAAATGGATTGTTCTACTTCCTCTTCTTCACCATTCGTCAGTATTCGCCATTTTCGATCCATAAGTTTGCCAAGCCGACCACATCCTAGCACTCATCAACTTGAAGAAGAACTCACCAACCTCAAAACATGGGAGGCTTCTACCTCTTCCATGCCAACTATAGATACAGTCTGCGGTGCTCTAATGGGACTCGAAAGATTGTACACATGTGTTAACGAAATTTTCGCTTTTCAACTGACCCAACAATCCCTTTCTCATGAAAAGCATCAGAAATTGGTTGATCAGTTGTTGGACCAATCATTGATGCTTTTGGATGTCTGTGGCTCATTAAGAGATGCCATGGAACAAGTCAAGCAACATGTCAGAGATGTAGAATCGGCTTTGAGAAGGAGAAAGGGGGATCTGAGCGTCAACACTTCCTTCTTCGTGAAAATGGAGAAGGATACCAAAAGAACTCTCTCTGCACTATTAAAGCAAATCAATAACAATTTTGGGGGCACAACACTCGTGAATCTAGATCACCACCTCTCAGCTGTGGTTAGATCACTAAGTGATACTAGTTTGGTGAGCATCTCTGTATACAGATCACTCCTGTCACTTATATCTGTTTTCATCTCAAAACGAAAGCCTACCAGGTGGTCTATAGTTTCAAATTTGATACACAAAGGCGCAGCAAAGGGTGTAGATCACCCTCAAGTTTCATCTGAGAATCTAGAATCACACATTGAAGTCCTTGAGAATGGTATGGAATGCTTGTTTAGGAGCTTGATCAAAACAAGAGCCTCTCTCCTAAATTCTCGCTCTCACTAGCTACACTGTTGTAGTCCAATTTTGTAGAGGATATGCCAGTCTTTTTGTAAAATGTACAAACATAGAGAGATATGAATGTTGATGGTTACTCAAATGATGTGTCTTTTTATTTGTCCTTATAGATGTCATCATATTCTGTTTTCTAAGATTCAACTTCATCTATAATTTCATAGAACCGACTTAACAATGAGTTTAGTGGGTGATTTAGCAAATTGAGTCCTCAATTTTCTATAGATGCAAACAAAATTTGTAAGCAAGTCATAATCAGTGCATTTTTTTGTCATCGTGTGAGAAACATGATGGAAATAGAAACTGTGTATACCATGTAAACAGATACTAACTTATCTTCATGTACTCATAGACCATATAAACCAATTAAAAGTGTGATGAACTCCCTCCATTCCAAAATAAATATATACATATCAATTATTGGCATGGACTACGCTTGAACTCAAGAATTGATGTGCATTCTTCAGTCGTGGGCAAACTAGTATACACATTAAGCTCCATAAGAAACAAAATAAATGATACTGATACTAAGCTAGTAACACTAGTAGCATATAATTTTACTTCAAATTCTTCTCTAAGCGGCCCTACTCTGGTCATGCTTATCACTTAATTACGTCATCTAATTCCTTCTCTAAGATGCATCTCTAGTTAGCAGAGCGGTCTTTTAGCATGTTAAATGTGGGATTCTTATAGTGCCTCCACAATTTTGGGCCCAATTTTACATGTATATATTTTTCTATAGATTTCTTGAATCTTGATTACGTAATAATACACAAGACAACTAAATTGTCCTTTCTGTTGGTGGGTTTTTCTCTATTCTTTATTCTTGTTTTTCCCTATATATCAAGGTTTCAACTTTGTCCACCTTGTCCTCTATCTTTGATGCGAGTACTTGATCAATTTTCATCATATGGGCTTCATTTTTTACCCAACAGAGGATTTTGATCTTTAAGAGCAAGGATTTGATTTGGGTGTTGGAATTAAATGTCAAAACACATTTGTTGATTTATATTTTTAGATTAATTAGATTTATGTAAAATTAAGAGGGTCATGGGACACCTCATCAAAACCACCGAAAGTAGTTTCTCACGGCAGTTTTCTGCCAACCGTCGTGTACCTTCAAGGCACCGATTCATTTGCTTTATAAGCATGAATCGGTTGTCATTTGTAAACAATGGTTTTCTAAATTATTCTCTCTATTATCATCCTACTCAATTAGTTCTATATCTTTTCTGTGGGTGTGTATTGCTACATGTGAATCATGGGTACTAAAGGTTCCAAGAGTATTGATCGTGGATATCACGATGGTGAAGCTCAGGACAGAAATCCACTGTGGTTTCGAAGAAAAAAAAAAGAAATGAACAACAGTGGTATCAGAGCCGAAGGAAGGATCGAAGAAGGAAGACGTTAAGGATCACTTAGAGGCTTCGTAACACTCAAGGGAATTGTGGAAACTCGGACTTAACAAACTCTCCTCACGGTTGCAGCAGCAATGGCGAATCCAACCAGAAACGAGTCAGGAAACCAACGTGCTATCGTTGTATAAAGAAGGGCCATTTCGCTTGGGACTGTCCCGAAAAAGGAAAGCGATTGATTTAAAGGCAACCGACACATGATCAGAAGGAAATCATTTCTAAGGTCGATGATCAAACTGATTACATGATCAGTCCATTGAAACCCTACATGCAGACACACACAGAGAAAGGATCTTTATAAACGGCGACTACATGGTCGAGGGAGCCGACACGGGATCGTGGAATTCCGTCTGGTACGTTAATTCGAAAATCTCTAAACATATGTCTCCCTCTAAAGAGATATTTGTTAAATTCAAGAAATGCTTCTACATCAACGATGAAGAACGTTTTCTTGACACACTCCACACACATGGTGTTTGGGAAATCGAACTAACAATGAACGAGAAAACATACGTTGTTCCCTACATCTCGTTTGTGCCCGAAATCAATATAAATGTTTTGAGTATGAAGCAACTCATATTTCAAGGGTTTGAGGTTGATGTGAGTGATTTAAAATGTAAAATCACCCACATGTGTGATGATCGAAATAGCAAGTAGAAGGACCGACAGGAGCCTGTTGATAGAAACCACCAGGAGATGAAGACAGTACCTGATCAAATTGAAATCAGGAAAGAGGACAAAGGAAAACTTGAAATCAATGGAAGTTTGGTACCCATACATATAAAGACTCTCGACGACTATGTAACCTTCATGGTTTTGACAAATTGTGACCGGATTGCTTACAAGAATAAGAAATTGTTCGAGAGAAAATTTGAAGAAGCACTCGCTTGGTTTTATAAAATCAAGGACGAGGATGAAATCACACTCCCGCCAAAGATATCAGGTATGGAAGTCTGCTTATTTGACTTATACAAGTTGATTGTTGGATCAGGAGGATTCAAAATCATAACAATTGAAGGAAGATGGAAAGATATCGCAATGAGCTTCGGATTCCCAGAATGCTACGATAAAGATTTTAGTAAATTATTTGATGCATCCACAAGAGTACTATGTATTTGCACAGAAAAGGTTTGGGATGGTGCCAAGCAAAGAGAACCAAAAGTTTGGTAGTTCAACCAACAGGGTTCAGAAACAATCAGGACGTACGATTGGTCATAGCGTTGGAACCTCAGATGGTAGAGTAACCAGGGCCAGAACGTTACAACAGTTAAGACAACCATTCAAACCGGAAACTACAAGGAACGAGATGTGGAAGACCCTAGCATCAAAGGATATTAGTTAGATGAACTTGAAGACACTAGCGCTGACACAAATGAAGGCGATGAGTTCGTGATTGTGGTATGAAGCTCGAAGACTAGACGAGCTGGATGAAAGGTGTTCAACATTTAAAGGGGAGTGTTGGAATTAAATGTCAAACACATTTGTTGATTTATATTGTTAGATTATTTAGATTTATGTAAAATTAAGAGGGTCATGGGACACCTCATCAAAACCACCGAAAGTAGTTTCTCACGATAGTTTTCTGCCAACCGTCATGTACCTTCAAGGCACCGATTCATTTGCTTTATAAGCATGAATCGGTTGTCATTTGTAAACAGTGGTTTTCTAAATTATTCTCTCTATTATCAACCTACTTAATTAGTTCTATATCTTTTCAGTGGGTGTATATCGCTACATGTGAATCATGGGGACTAAAGGTTCCAAGAATATTGATCGTGGATATCACGATGGTGAAGCCTCAAGACCGAAACCCACTGTGGTTTTGAAGAAAAAAAGGAAAAGAACAACATTGGGATATGTTATAAGTCGATTGCCTTTTGGGTTTGGGATATTAGGGTTCCAAACTCAAACTTTTTTTTAGGGATTTGACTTTAATGTGAATAAGCCAAGCCTTTCAATATTCTTGATAATAGATTTGCTTTCTGACTTTTATCTTTTTCGAAAACTCTGAAAGATTAGGTTCAGAATGTTAATTTACCATCTATCAATTGTCTTGGTACACGTGTAATAGGGTCTCCAAAAAGATTGGAACGATCCTGCTAGTTAGGCTCCCGAATCCATCCCTAAAGGTTTCTTTCTCTAAATCCCAATTTTCTTGTAGTGAATGAGTCTAAGCATGCATGGAACTTAGAACTACAGTTAACTAGGTCAACTGGACTTCAAAATCCAGAGTAGTGTGGAGGAGCTTAATAGTTCAGGCTAGAATTGGAGGGTGCAGCAGGCCTAAATGTTTCATTGCTAGCTAGMATTGATCCTGGAGAGATCTTCCGTATGCATGTGATCCTTGTAAAGAGCTTGGGACTTAGCTTGGCACCATGGCTGCTTTTCATATGTTACAAACAACAATCCTGATTCACTCTGCCCTTCTGAATTTTTGTGCCCCACTATACTTTATCAATGAAATTGGTGGCATCTCAAATCAAAATTCTAGTCGGAGTTATCTAAACTAGGGAGCTGAAGAGATAAACACCGTTGAATATATATACCATAAAAACAGGTATTAATTAGCAGAACATTATATGTGATGTTTGATGAATTTTGGTATCTACTTCAAGATTGTGCCGTATTCAAATCTACATGGTTGTCTAATTGTAAACATGCAGTGTAGTATCCTCTAAAACTCGGATACATATTGCAAGGTTATAAATCTACAAAATTACATTAGTTGGAAAGGATATTTAGGAGGGATGCTCTTGTTTTGATCAATCTCCTAAACATTCCAAACCATCCTCAATTTCTTCAGTATGGCACTCTAGTTCCTCATTGAAAACCTGAAGCTGGTCTTTGTACTCCACTGTTCCTTTGGGAATCAAGCTTGAAACTATTGGCCACATTGTTGTCTTTGACTTTGCAATAGATCCAAACAAGAACAACAAAAACGACCTGAACACGGATATGTGCTTGCAACAGTATCTTCTCTCAGTACTCTAGCAACTGAGATAAGGTGGTGATCTTGATCTAGCAATGGCACATCTCCAATCTTGGCATCGACATGCTTCAAAGATGAAATAGCTTTTCGGGAATCTTTCTTCAGCTTTTTAATATATGAAGTGGTAATTCTTACATCATATTTTCTCCTTCTTAGGGCTGCTGAACATTTCTAGCATTTTCTTTGACTTCTGATAATATATCTCTTAAGAAGCCACAAACGTCCAAAAGACTAATTGAATCTAGCAACTTATTGGAAAATTTCATATACTGGTTCTGAGTTAGGGCTTGTTGGGTCGATGGCAAAAGGAGAAGATCTTGAAGACAATCTTATAATCCCTGTAGACTCAGCAGACCTCTGCAGATGGCATCTGTAGTACTTGGAGTGGTTGATGTGGATGCCTCCCATTTTTTACCTTGTAGATCTCATCTTCAACTTGAAAAGTGCTTGGACATGATCTAGATGTCAAACTAGAGGATCAGATATGATGAATATTGTTTGAGGGACAAGAGGTAGAAGCCATTCTTTTCTTATGTTTTTGTGAGAGAGAGAGAGAGAGAGAATATGTGGAACCCGTGTATCACTCT